CGTGAAAAGTTGTTTCTCTTTACAAGAATTGAGATTTAAGAATTAATGTGCCATGTCTTCAATTTTACTATAAAATGTATTGATTAGGATTTTACTATCAAAATGAATTGTTGGCCATTTTGCTACAAAAATATATTGTTTGTATTATTTTTGTTTTTGTTATAAAAACTTATGGCTGGTAATTTCACTCCAAAATATATTATCGTTTTTTTTTTTTATAAACTTGTATTCCTGATATTTCTACTATTATAGGGTATTATAATTTGCTAGTATCTGTCCTTCTATACATCGGCGAATGTTGGACGGTCTCCTCAAGGAGGAAGAAGAGACTCGAGGCGGCGAAGATGGGGTTCTACAGAAGGATGCTAAGGATATCCTGGAGCGAGCGTATGAGCAACGATGAGGCTTTGGAGAGGATGCAAACAAGGAGGAAGCTTAGACTTAGCATCAGAATGAGGCACATGAAATTTCTGGGTCACGTAATGAGAAAGGAGAGTCTGGAGAATCTGATACATATAAGATTCGCCAGCGGCGCGTAAAAGAAGTAGTTAATCTCCAACTGCAGGATATATACCAACCGCCCGACGAAGTCAGATGTGGAACAATGCCGAATTTGATGTGAGTTATCCGAGCCCGTAGGCTCGGCCAAAAATTTACCCGTAAACCACGTTGGGTCGGGTAGCTGTTTCCTGAAGACGAGACATATATATATATATATATATATATATATATATATATATATATATAGTCTTGTCTAGGGGCAGAGAGTTTGACCAGCACAGCTGGAGACGAATCTTTAACTGCAGACCAACATACAGTATTTACTACTGTATTTATGTAAATGGGAACATACCATTATCATCCATAGGTAGTCTACAACGATATATATATATATATATATATATATATATATATATATATATATATATATAAAGAATTATAAACAAATGTTATAAAATCACTACAAAAATAGCCATTTTGTTTCAACACCTCCGGTGTCTTATCAAGTCATGATGTTGAATGTAAAACAGAATGGCTATTTTTGTAGTGATTTTATGACATAATTATGTTATAATTCTTTAAATAAATAATTATATCTGCTCTACTCTGTATTGATCACTTTTTTAAGAATAGTAATTGTTGGTTATTGGAATTCATTCCTTATACACCAATTATATATATATATATATATATATATATATATATATATATAAGACAATGAATTTCTGTTGAAATAGGTACCGATCCATATGAGGTAATTTGCTGTATATAAAAATATATTGAGCGCTTTTTGTGGATCAGATTTAATATTTTATATTACTAGGATCCACTTGGATTACGTACCAACAGATTTATTGCCTTTACTATATATATATATATATATATATATATATATATATATATATATATATATTGTCAGTTTTACGCTTTTGCCTTCATCAGATAAACTGGTTTTTTTTTAACAATAAAATCTATTTATGCTTGTTAGTATTTGATTACGTTTGGTGGTGGATTGGGAAATTCTTTCTGTCTCCGTTTGGAATGACACTCCCATACACACAGATGACAGAAATATGTACGTACGCATTTTAGTGCACACAAACACACCCATATAAACAATCCAAGATTAGGCGCAGATACGCATCCATATATATATATATATATATATATATATATATATATATATATATATATATATATATATATGAAAATTTCTCAGAGTTAACCTGTAGAAAGACAAAAAAATAGATTAATAAATTCATTTGTTTTTGCCTTTAAAATGTCCACATTGGACGAAAAGCGTCGGCTATTACAGTTTTCCCATTGTCTTTTTATATATATATATATATATATATATATATATATATATATATATATAAATGTATATAAATAAAAAGAAAGAACAGTAAGATATATAATCCGGTGTTCTTATAGGTATTTTATTTTTACAAAATAGTGCTCAATGTAAATTTACAGAGCATTAATATTATAAATTAATTGATTTAAAATATTTTTTTTTATATTTTAAATCAATTAATTTATAATATATATATATATATTATAAATTTACTAATTTAAAATATGGTTCCATCGCTACACAGGAATTACCATGTTTCAAAAACAGAAGCTAACAACATCAAATTTCAATTATAGATTTAAATTAATTTCCTAGTTCATGTTAATTTTCAAGCAGAAGCGAATTTTGGAATCTGCTATGTAGATTTTCATTAAGCACTGTTTTGTAAAAATAAAAAAATATTAATAAGAACACCGGTTTATATATCTTCTTGTTGTTCTTTCTTTTTTTTATTATATATATATATATATATATATATATATATATATATATATATATATATATATATGGGTGTGTGTATAAATGAAAGGACAAGATCAGAACTGCATTTAGTTGCCGACGCATTTCCTCATCCGACGTAGCTTATCAAAGCAAATGTGATAGTTTTTATTTACCACCAAGTATATATTTTACAGCTAGTCAAGATTTCCAATTTCACGAACGTTCATGAATATTCAGCAAGTTAAATTTTGAAGTAAGTTATTGCCGTGTTGATTTTGACGATAAGTTTAGCTGTTTTAAATTTGTTTTCATGCTTTTTTTAAAAATTTTCTTTTCTTTACGAACACAAGAAAACTTAAATAAGAAGCTTAAGAGCAGGTCCTTGTCAGTCATCTTAAATAAAGCAAACAAATACAGCTCCCATAGAAAAAAAAATTGTAGACACCCTTCAGGAAAAGAATGACTTGCCTTTAGTAGTTTTTAAACGCTGATGAATTATTCTCTCGATAAAACAGTACACCGCTACACTACCAGCAAGACGTGCGAGCTTACATGAACGAGAATTTGCAAGGACGTGAGCTAAGATGGATGCGTGCTGTCGAGTCACCAAACACCACCACCCACACCACCACCACACGTCTTCCTGATTTAACACCCTGCGGACTTTCTCCTACGGAGGACCCTAAAAGAATACTGATTACATTGGCGGCCCTTTGACATGATATTGAAAATACACGTGTAGCAATTTCACTGGACCCTATGGCCAACTTTGCTCAAGCCGAAGTTCGTCGTAATAATAAATGTCTGGAAGCTAAAGGCCACCATTTTGAGCGTCTCTTGTGATTGTCGAGTCCTAAACGTATTAATCACGTGATGTTTGAATAAATTTAGTATTACAATATCTATACGAGTTATTCTTTTGCTGAATTACATAGATTTTTGGCGGACTCTGTTTAAGTTCACTGCTACCAGCAAGCAGAAATATTTCTTCTCCTGATGATGGCCATTTTGGCCGAAACTAGTCGAGGAATCTAAATGAAATAATAATAATAATAATAAAAACGAAAGAATATTAATCTACAATCCAGTGTGTCTAAAGATTTTATTTTTTAATATTTTTTTTTATTGTTCAATATCTATGGAATATATAATATATAAAAACGAAAGAATATATATACAATCCATATGTCTAAAGATTTTAATTTTTAATATTTTTTTATTGTTCACTATATATATATATATATATATATATATATATATATATATATATCAATCAGATGTGCGATATTTATGGGATAAAGTGTTAATCGTCAGGATACGACGGTTAAATATAAATAGCATGAAACAGACTGTCTGCATATCTGCAATCGTGAAACAGACGGTTTATAACAGACACTTTATGTTCTATATATATATATATATATATATATATATATATATATATATATATATATATATATATATAGGTAGGTAGGTAGTAACGGTCGGTATAATGCAGGAGAGTCGTATTAACACAACATAGAATTTGAAATATGTTAAAACTGTCTGACAAAAGAGCGCTCAATATTTATTTTCATTAAACAGAGCAAATTTTCTTTACAATTGAAATTAAGATACCTTTAGTAAATTACCATTTTCATCCACGAATTTTAATTTTAGAATTCACAGGATTTTTCAAAGTGTGTAAAATTCGTAGTTGAAAATGGTCATTTACTAAACGTATCTTAATTCCAATTGTAAAAAGAAAAAAGTATATATATATATATATTTTTCATGTGTTCGAACAAGTGTTTTCTTTTCTGGACACAAAGTGTGTAGACACGGATGAAATATTCTGTAATTCCGAGAGCTTTCGGCTATATTTTCAGCCATTATCAAGGATGATTTTATTTTGACTCTTTAACTGGGTGTATGGGAGGAGTTTATGTTTCTAGAGTTTTAGGGATATTTTATTTTTCGAACATGGTCAGCACATTGTGTCCGTGTTCGTATTTAATGTTACTGAATGTTGGCTTTTTCTTTTTTATTATTAAGACTTCCATTATTTTTAATCTTTTTTTTTTCATGTGGATGAGATTTTGCGCTTGTATATTTAACTGTTCGAACACAAGATGAGTTAAATGAAAGTTTAATTGCAGTACCATGTCTGTCTGACGTCTTTAATGAAATATATATATATATATATATATATATATATATATATATATATATATATGGGGGGCAGGTTGTCTGAGAATCGGTTCCTCGAAACTGAGTTGCCTGACCCTCATATGTCGTAAAATGTCACCACGTGGATCAACGACGATATATATATATATATATATATATATATATATATATATATATATATATATATGAAGAAAAATATATACGGAAAAAACAAAACAAAAATCCTTATATACAATTATGCTGTTTTAATGTTAATATGTCAACGTCTGACGTTTCGGTCTAATAAACCATCTTCAGGACATATTCATAAATATAACATTATCAATACAACATGACAAAGACGCTGTACATAAGAACAAGACTTGATATATATATATATATATATATATATATATATATATATATATATATATATGGTACCCCGTAAGTTTACATACATATGGTTTTATACATTGTATTTGCTTATATTTCAAATACCCTAGAAGAGGCGTTTGGATAAAGGTGCTTGGTGTGATAGGTGTGGTCTTGTGGTATGGCCTCTCGGATCCCCAGACCTTACCCCACTTTATTTTTTTTACCTTTGAGGACATTTGAAGGCCCATGGTGAATTAGGAAACGATACAAAATATAAATCATCTCAAGCAACGTATCGCCAACGCCATTACAAGCATAACTCCAGCTGTGCTTGAACGTGTTCTTCAGCAATGGAAGACACGCATTGAAGATTGTTTTCAACAGAATGGTAGTCATCTAGAGCATAATATATAAATAAATATGGCTTTTGATATAAAAAATTTTATTTTTCTATGTATGGAAATTTATGGGACACCCTCTCACTCGTGCTATTTATATATATATATATATATATATATATATATATATATATATATATATATATATATATGTACAGTGAGTTTGTATCCGTTATCAATAATATATTTAAAAAAAAAAATACATCGATTCGCATTATATTTTTTTCGTCTGAGATGCTACCTGAATTTTACCAAAAACAAAATAATTTCCATGCCTAAAGATGACTGAATGTACAATCGAAAGTACTTGCGTATTAAATACCTTATACAGCTTATAATTTTTAAAAACAAGGATCATAACATTCATCGAGTGATTTGTAGGTTAATGCACCTTTAAAATTTTGGTAGCGAAGGAATTTCGCCATTTTGTATCGTTAACTTACTAATCTACTTTTTGTATGAATGATTCATTGTAATATATATATATATATATATATATATATATATATATATATATATGTGTGTGTGTGTGTGTGTGTTTGTGTGTATATATGTTGTGGAGTATTTTCACAGTGGAGGCTTGTATTTCTAATAAGTCGTCCTAAATTAGGTCCGACGTACAAAACGTTAGGAACTTGGAAAATAAGAGTCAATGGCGCAGCAATCTAGTTGTGATGGTTGGTACTTCAAATGTCCGAATCTCGACTGACGCGCTCAACACCATTCGGTATTTATCATTTCACCCACGGAAACGAATATGGCACAAGGCCGGTTTTATTAGGGTTTCTCTGAGCCTGTAGGCTCGGCCAAAAAAATAGCCTTTGAAGCCGATTAGACGGGTTCAGGCCCTGTCTACCTCCCCGGACGAAACCTTTGTCCTTCGACAAAGCTCGTTTGGTTCTCTCTGCTAACGCAGAGAGTTCGACAGGAGGCGCGCGCAGTCAGAGACCGCTCAACACCATTCTGCCAGACTTGCCACTGCTACTCCTACTTATTATCTATGGAGAGTCCATTATAATATATATATATATATATATATATATATATATATATATATATATATATATATATATATATCGTATTTGACGGCATATAAGACGTACTTTTTTTAATGAAAATATCATTGAAAATTCCCCTGTGTCTTATATGCCATATGTAGGTTTAAAATTCGCGATAGTCGACCGAAATTCGCTACCTGGCAACTCCTGCAAGTTTAGGCTTTAGAGTAACTTTCATATATTTATTGTCATTATTTAAAAGGCTATTACGCAGATTAAAAATGTCATTATTGATAATATTCATTATATTAATTTCATCACGTTTAATATTAGTACTTTGTTTCACTAAAATTTTCTGCAATAAATTCAAATTATATATTTGTAAAATATATTTGTTTTATTAATATATTTCTTGCGATAACTTCTGGTTGTATTGGTATAAAAATATCATTTTTATATCCTAATATTTCCATAAAGACATTTACAAGACGCAGGTTGTACAGATCATATTAAGGAAAATTTTTGACTGAATTTTAATGGAAACTGTACTGTTTTGCTTAATTTATAATAATTGCTTGATTTTTAATTTGCTTTCTTACCTTTGGATATAACAAAGTTTTTATAGGCTTGTGTTTTTTTTTATTATTTTTCGTTTAATTGTAATCATGGCTTGTTTAACCAAAATAATACCTCATAAATATAGCCTAGACTGTACCATTTATTAATAATTTTACTAATTACTAATTTTTTCTTGATTTGCTCTGATGAAATTGGGATGCGTCTTATACACCCGTGCGTCTTATATGCCGTCAAATACGGTATATAGTAAGTTAAAAATCCGTTGGTATATAATCCAAGTGGATCCTAGTAATATGAAAACTTACAGATATGAACTTCATTTCATTTCACACCGGGGCTGAAAAGACAGATGACCAATTTCGTCGTCTGCCGAAACAGACTATTCCCCATATATGAGTTAAAAAAGGATTTGTATAATTTGTTTTTATATATATATATATACATATATATATATATATATATATATATATATATATATATATATATATATCAAGACAGACATGGTTACGGAGGTGTTGAGGCCTCACACTTATACACACACCCACACGAATATATAGACACTTACACACATCATACTCACTCCCTAAGAACCAAATAACACGCACACACAAACACTAAACAGAGACACATCCCCTCACCAGGTCCAATAAAACTGTCAAACTGACCAGAGAATTCAGAGCAACATGTATCTATCCAGCTCTTATCTCAAATAACAATTTAAAAGAGACTTTGACCAACACAAGGAATGTTAAAAGATTCATGTTAAAAAGATAAAAAATACAAATGAAAACTACAGACAAAAGTTCATTTTCTCCAGCAAAAGATTAATTTCTGTAGTTTACTGCTACCAGCAAGCAGAAATATTTCTTCTCCTGATGATGGCCATTTTGGCCGAAACTAGTCGAGGAATCTAAATGGAATAATAATAAAAAAAACGAAAGAATATTAATTTACAACCCAGTGTGTCTAAAGATTTTAATTTTTTATTTTTTTTTTATTGTATATATATATATATATATATATATATATGTGTGTGTGTGTGTGTGTGTGTGTGTGTGTGAATGGGGGTATATATGTGCGTGTATGAATGGGGATATACATGTGTGTATGTCCCTGCCATTCAAACAGTGAAAATAATGTCAAACGGACATCCGGGCCATGGCCAAAAAAATATGGATGGAACAAACTATTTAGGCGCACTTGATATAGCTTAACAAACTTGCTAATCATTACACCATAGCATAGTGCCCACTATCTGTACATCTATATCGGGTTTTACACATCTATCTATCTGTCTATTCTCATCCAGTTCATTATCTATCTATTTCATTTTGTTCATTATCTGTCACATTCTGTTTATTATCTATCTATCTCTGTATCTGTCCGTATCTATCTACGTCTTTTTATATCTATTAGGTTGGTGCAAAAATAATGACGCAATAATGTCGTTTTTTGACGTTAAAAATTACGTCATTATTTTTGCACCAACCTAATAGCTAGCTAGATAGCTAGCTAGCTCATTCTGTTCATTATCTATCTATCTATCTATCTATCTATCTATCTATCTATCTATCTATCTATCTATCTCATTGTTGTAGAGTAGTTTTCACAGTGGAGGCTTGTATTTCGCTAAGTCGGTCCTAAAAAGGGTCCGACGTACAAAACGTTAGGAACTTGAAATAAGAGTTAATGGCGCAGCAAATCTAGTTGTGATGGTTGATACTTCAATGTCCGACATCGAGTGACTCACTCAACACCACTGAGCTCAACTGTCGACCGCTACTACTACTACTACTACTTATTATGTGTGGGAGAGTCTATTAATAATAGAATAGGTACGTCAGGTATAACACTCATTCTTTTCATTATCTATCTATCATTCATCTATCTAGCTAGCTAGCTCAGCTTTCATTCTGTTCATTTTTGTTCATCATCTCATTTCATTCTGTTCATTTTCTGTATCTATCATCCATCATCCATCATCCATCATCCCATCTATCTATCATCCATCATATCTATATCTCCATTCTGTTCATCCATCCATCTATCTAAATCCAGCCAGTTAGCCATCCATCCATCCAGCTCATTCCATTTATTATCTATATCCATCCAGCCATCCTATCCATCTCATCCCATTTTGTTCATTATCCATCTTATTCTGTTCATATCCATCCTATCATCCATCCATCCTATCTATCCATCCATCCATCTATCTCAGTCTGTTCATCCATCCATCCATCCATCCATCCATCCATCCATATCTCAGTCTGTTCATCATCCATCCATCCATCCATCCATCATCCATCTCCATCATCCATCATCTATCTATCTCATCATTCCAGTCTGTCATCCATCCATCCATCATCATCCATCCATCCATTCATCTATCATCCATCCATCCATCCATCCATCCATCCATCATCCATCCATCCATTTCAGTCTGTTCATATTCATCCATCCATCCATCCATCCATCCATCCATATCTATCTATCCATCATCCATCTATCATATCCTCCAGTCTGTCTGTCCACATCCATCATCCATCTATCCATCCATCCATCCATCCATCCATCCATCCATCAGTATCATCTATCATCCATCTCCATCTATTTCAGTCTCCATCCATCCATCCATCATCCATCCTCCCATCCCATCCTCCATCCATCCATCCATCCATCCATCCCAGTCCGTCCCACATCCATCCATCTATCCATCATCCATCCATCCATCTATCATCCATCCATCCATCTATCTATCCATCATCCATCTCAGTCTGTTCATATCCATCTATCTATCCATCCATCTATCTATCTATCTCAGTCTGTTCACATCCATATCCTATCTATCTATCCATCCATCCATATCTATCCATCCATCTATCTCAGTCTGTTCATATCCATCTATCTATCCTCCCATCATATCCATCCATCTATCCATCTCCATCTATCTCAGTCTGTTCATCCATCCATCCATCATATCATCCCAGTCTGTATCTATCTATCATCATATCTATCTATCTCCATCCATCCATATCCATATCTATCAGTCTGTTCATCCATCCATCATCTATCTATCATATCATCCATCCATCTATCTATCATCTATCTATCTCAGTCTGTTCATATTCCATCCATCCATCCATCTATCTATCTATCTATCTATCATCTATCTATCTATCTCAGTCTGTTCATCATCTATTCATCATCTCATCTATCCTATCTATCTATCTATCTGTATCCGCTTCTATGCAAGATCCTCGAAGTTAGGCAACCTCGAGCCATCCATCCAGCCCCAAGTTATGTTACCGTTTTGGGAATATCCATTCCCCAGTCCTGTAAGACGGAATCCATCCATCCATCCATCCATAGAGCCGGTTAGACATCATGAAAGAATGGACGGACATGACAATGGCGGAACCACCGTGGGCTATCGCCAACAGATCATCCATCCATGGAGGAAGATCCATCCATCCATGCCTTCCATCCATTTCCAGGTGCCATCGACGTCCGATCAGTAAAGGAACTGATGATGACGACGACGATGATGACGATGATGATGATGACGATGATGAGGTTGATGAGGATGATAATGATGACGATGGTGATGATGACTACGATGATGACGATGACGTTGACGCCGATAATGAGGATGATAATGATGATGATGATGCTAATCCATCACGTTGATCCATCCATCCATCCATCCATGATCCGATGATGAGGACGATGATGATGATGACGATGATGAGGATGATGGCGACGACGACGACGATTATGATGTCCATCCATTTTATGATGATGATGATGATGATGACGATGGTGTTGATGACGATGATGATGATGATTAAAAAGATGATGATGATGATGATGACGATGGTGATGATGACTATGATGATGATGACGATGGTGATGATGACTATGATGATGATGATTAAATAAGATGATGATGATGACGATGGTGATGATTATGATGATGATGATGATGATGACGATGGTGATGATGACGATGATGATGATGATGATTAAAAAAGATGATGATGATGATTATGACGATGATGACGATGGTGATGATCCATCCATCCATGATGATGATGATGATGACCATGATGACGATAATCCACCATCCCATGAGGATAATCCATCCAATGATGGTGATGCTCATGACGTTGATGATGATGATGACAGTGACGACGATGATGACGATGACGACGGTGAAACGGGAAAAATGTTTCCATTTCCATCCATTTCCTAGTGCGATCATGTATCCACATGCTAAGACGCATCTTTCCTTTCTTGGCAGATGCCCTCGAAAATCACTCCGCGTCTTAGCACTGAAAGGCCAAGTTGTAAGGAGGACGAGTTCGCCAGGCCAACGAACCCAAGCCACGAGATACAAGCAATCACGAACCCCTGACATAAGAATATACGCCTAAAAATGATCATTCATATATAATAAATACCATTTTATCCCGTTAGTATCATGATATATGTTTTTTTTTTTGGTAGTCGGGGCGGGGGAGGGAGATGGATCTAAATGTTGAGACGTCTTGTGGCTTGGCCGAGTTATTTCTAATGTGAATAGATATAAAATTGTTTTTAATGGAGTTAAATAGGTCCAAAATTTGATAATTTGTTGTGACAGAAAGAAAAACGACATAGCAGACTCCGTGATATTTGCTTTTACAGTATGGTTCACCCTATCCAAGGTCCGGGATCAAGTCGAGGTAGAAGGTTATGGATAGGAGGAGAAGATAACGGTTAACTAAAGTCTTGAAGAGGTTAAGATTATAGTAATTGGGGAAATATCCACTTGGGAGTCTGTTCCAGAGAACTGTGATTCGAACTTAATAGTACGTTAATCTATTAAAACCTCAAATGTTTTTTTTTTTTTTAAATTAGTTAATTATACGTTGCCACTTACCACTTGTATCATTTCATATCTATCTATCTATCTGGTCATGATTTAATATGCTCATATCTATCTATCTATCTATCTATCTATCTATCTATCTATCTATCTGGTCATGATTCAGTATACTTATATCTATCTATCTATCTATCTATCTATCTATCTATCTGGTCATGATTCAATATGCTCATATCTATCTATCTGGTCATGATTCAATATGCTCATATCTATCTATCTATCTATCTATCTATCTATCTATCTATCTATCTACCTATCTGGTCATGATTCAATATGCTCATATCTATCTATCTATCTATCTATCTATCTATCTATCTGGTCATGATTCAATAAGCTCATATCTATCTATCTATCTATCTATCTATCTATCTATGTAGGAATAAGGTGTCGCTGCCGACGCTTGAGTTTGAACATAGATTGGCAGTAGGCAAACACGAGCGATCCCATTATTGAATTAAGCGGATCACGTGACCATGAGAGAAACGCATTGTAGGAAGTCGCGTGACGTCTAATTGATCGGCAATTCTATTCTATCCTCTATTACTATACGGAGCGCTATTCTCTACTCTATTCACTATATTATTTCTCTATACGAATGACAATCCGGTGGTTCCTATTCGAGCGATTATAATCGAGCAAGTATTATTAGCGCGAGTGATGTTCGAAGGCGTCTGACACCAGTATTGTTCAACGGCGTTACTATAGTTGTATCTGCGATTACAAAGTCTCTACTACAACGAACATTACGAAAGTGACAACGAGTATTAGTTGACATTACAAAAGTGACAACGAGTGTTCGTTGGCATCACAAAATTATCTATCTATCTATCTATCTATCTATCTATCTATCTATCTATCTGGACTTTCACATCTATCTACATATATATCCATGTAGTCTATTCATATCTATCTATCTCGCTAGCTATGTTATTCTGTTCATAGCTATCTATCTATTTATCAATGGTTGTCTGTTCCTATCTATCTATCTATCTATCTATCTATCTATCTATCTATCTATCTCTATCGGGCGTTACATCGTTGTATGTGTCTATCTATGCTAGACTGATTATATCTATCTATCTATCTATCTATCTATCTATCTATCTATCTATCTATCTATCTATCTATCTTATGGCATTCATCGTTTCATGTCTATCTGTCCCTTTGTGTGTACATCTTATTCCCAGGTCTGACTTATGGAAAACGTCACTAAAACTGACATTGTCCCTTTGATTTCAGGAATATTCCGCAAAAAAAAAAATGTTGCTATCTGAATCGATAAAATAAATATTCTTCTGTCTTTACCTCTTAAGAGTTTTTGTTGGTGGACAAAATTTGAATTCCTTTCGCTACGCATCGCAAAAGAAAACGTCAAAATAAATACAAATGAAATAAAATAAACAGGTGTTTGTCTTCTATTTATCGGGTAGGCTGAATGAAAAAAAATGTACCGGTTTATTGCTGGCTTTAAGCGGGGAGATGTTCATCTCTTCTCTTCTAATACTATTTTACCGTATTCCCCGTTTGCTAAGACGCATTTTCTCTCTGAAAATAGCCCTCAAAAATCACCCTGCATCTTAGCAGTGAAAAGTTAAGTTTTAGAAAGGAGTTTGGTAACCCTTAGGAGCCCCAGTTACGAGATACAAGCAATCACGTACCCCAGACATATATTATAAGCCTACAATGATCATTCATATATAATACATACCATATATCCCGTTATGATCATATATATATATATATATATATATATATATATATATATATATATATATATAATATTTATTTTTATTTTTTTATAGCATAAATAGTTATAAAATCACTACAAAAAATAGCCATTTTGTTTCAACACCTCCGTGTGTCTTATCAGTGATGATGTTGAATATGAAATAAATGGTTTTTAAAAGTTTCAAATTAATTAACGATCCTTCAGCTTTTGTAACAATGTTTCCTCCTAGTGAAGGATCGTTAATTAATTTGAAACTTTTAAAACCATTTATTTTATCTTCAACAGCATCACTTGATAAGACACCGGAGGTGTTGAAACAAAATGGCTATTTTTGTAGTGATTTTATAACATATTTATGTTATAATTTTTTTATAAATAATAATTATATCTGCTCTACTTTGTATTGAGCACTCTTTTAAAAATAGTAATTGTTGGTTATTGGAATTCATTCCGTATACACCAATCATATACTTGTATATATATATATATATATATATATATATATATATATATATATATATTGCTTTTATATTGTTCTAGTGCAAGTAAGGGTAAGACGATAAATTACAACCCCGGCCTGAGTAAGACGATAAACTACGTCCAACAGGAAGGCCTCTGATCAGGAACTTTTGAGGAGCATGGAACCGCCTCTTAATTGCTGGTATTCTCAGGTCCACCCTGACCCAGGGTGGTAGCACCTGTTAGGGTCCCAACTATGGGTAAATAGCTAACCCCCAAACTGGGGGCAAAATACTATGAAAGGGTAAAAGTAGGTTTTAATACCAGTACTAAAATTTTTGTTAAAAGAATTATTACCAGCAATACATTTTTGGAAAAAATATTACCAGCAATAAAAATCTTGTCGGCATTAAATAACGCATTGATATGGCGTAAAACAAACCAAACCAAACCAAAACTTTTCTCCCATCGTTTTTACTTCCTCTCGCGGAATTTTGCTTCCTCCATTTCGCCACAAATCCATCATCTCCTCTTATTACCTCACCGTCTTGTTCACACACGCCCTAGCAGAATTTTACCAGTCAAGCAAAAATTTGGGACTACTTAACCCAAGTTCTCTCTGAACAAATTCTTGGGTTACCTTGTTTACTCCGTAATAAGTACACTTCAGTCCTAGCTTAGAATGAGAACCAGCAAACCAACTGCTGTGTCTATGAGATTTCATGAGCCTAAAAATTTCTACCACTACATCTATAGATTAACTTGTCATACTTAGACGAATTATCAGTAATTAAATTAAAAATGCTACTTGCACGTATATTATATTACTTCTTCGTAAAACTGATTATCAGTTCTTTATCCTGAAGTCAATTAATTCCAATCTGATCCAACAAATTTCATGTCATTTTATTATTTTAATTATTTATTATCTTTTTATTAGAGTATGATATTAATTTGTCCTTATTGTGTTTAAGAAATTTAGCCAAACTTTGACCTTTGGGCCTGAAAAAACAAAAACAAAAACAAAAACAAAAAAACGAAAACAAAAGAAACCAGAAAAAAACGGGTTGTCAAAACGACAGTTTTTCCCTTGACACCGCTATTATTTTAACTACCTTCAATCCTTAGCAATGTTTATTGTTTTAAAAAGCGATGATTAGAATTTTAATAAAAAGCTTTTATTTGCAGGCACAAAGATCCAAGTTTGCCGAAATTTAATTCAATTTTTCCCGTTTTTATTTTGTTTTTTTTTTTATTTTATTTTTTTTTAAAGTACGTAGTCACCTGTCGGAAAATAACCATTGCTTTTTCTAAATGTGGCCGTAAATGGTAATCAAACCCAAACAAAATGTTCCTTCATTTTCTAAGTGCTGTGTCCGTTCAGGACGTAGACGATCATGACTTTCCACAATTTCCTGTACTTGGTAGCACTTCATAAATGTTGTTTTTCTTGTTATCACTCCTAAATCCTATCCCGCCATCCATTTATATGTTTATTTCTTCTTCCTCTTCTTTTATGTGTCATGTCCCTTCAGGACTTTGGTGATCATGGCTCTCCACATTTTCCTGTTCTTTGTAGCTCTTAATAAATGCAGTCTTTTTGTTATATTTCCTAAACTCTGTTTCACCATCTTTTTACACAAGCTATTTCTTCTTCTTCTTCTTCTTCTTCTTCTTCTTTGTGTCATATCCTTTTAAGGCCTTGGCGATCATGGCTCTCCACATTTTCCTGTCCTTTGTAGCACTTAATAAATGTTGTCTTTTTGTTATCTCTCCTAAACCCTATCCCGCCATCTATTTACACAAGCTATTTCTTCTTCTGCTTCTTCTATATGTCATGTCCCTTCATGACCTCGGCGATCATGGCTCTCCCCAATTTCCTGTCTTTTGTAGCACTTAATAAATGCTGTCTTTTTGTTATCTTTCCTGAACTCTGTTTCGCCATCAATTTACACAAGCATATGTTCTTCTTCTTCTTCTTCTTTGTCATATACTTTTAGGGCCTCGGCGATCATGGCCCTCCACATTTTCTTGTCTTTGTAGCTCTTTATAAATGTTGTCTTTTTGTTATCTCTCCTAACTTTGCTCCGCCATGCGTTGATTTCATCTGTCCTTCAGTCTTTCTTGTGAGTATTAAATTTTCCAAGCCCTCTTTCCTTATTATGTGCCGTAGAAATTTCAATTGCCTTTTCCTGATATTAAGTATATGGGCCCTTTTTTATTTCCATTATCTTTGAAACTTCATAGTTGCTCACATTTTCGGTCCATTATAGTCTCAGCATCCTTCAGTAGAACAACATTTCTGTGTTACCTCAAGTCTTCTCTTCATCTGTGAGGAGATTGTCCAGCATTCATCAGTTCCCAGCCCTTTCGTAGCGCTTAGTAAATTGTGTCTTTTTATATTATCCCCAAATTCTGTTCTGCCATCCATTCACAAGCTTGTTAGGTAGGTTACGTGTGTTTTTTTTTTCTGTCACACTTGCCTTGTTCTGTGAGTATAACATTTTCCAAACCCTCTTTCCTCATTATGGACTCTAGAAATTTGAACTGTTTCTTCCTGATGTTAAGTATAAGGTGTTACAGTTTTTTGTGTATATGTAACTAGTGAGACAATCCCTTTATAGTCTACCAATTGAAGGTTAACCAATCAGAAGCCGCAGAACATTCTATCTGTTGTGTATAAAGGCGGCCATTTTTATTTATCCTACCCGAATGACCAGTGCCAACTTGTCAGGCGAAGATGAACAGAAGGAAGTACTACGCTCTGCTACTTTGCTGCGATATCCACTGCTAACCTGAACTACGCTTTCCTATTGTCTCCAAAACATTCACTGCTAACCTCTGATTCTATACCGAAGACGAGACGACCGTCAACCTGATAAATGTCTCCGAAATAACCTGCTAACCTCTGGATTTTACAACGCTCATAAAATGTCCTACATTTTTGTCTCGTTTGCTCAAATGTTTTCTATAATATTCTCAGCATCTTCTGTAGAACCATTTCTGATTTTAAAGTATCTTCTTCATCTGTTAGGACGACATTCACTAAAATCGTCTACTGTCCATAAGTCTTCAATCTGTTTGTTTGAATATTTTTTTAAAGCCTTCTTTTTTTCCATTTGTTTTGTTTTCCCCAAATGTTTCTCAGCATCCTTCTATAGAACTGTGGAACCATTTTTTTTTGCTTCAAGTATCTACTTCATCTGTTAGGCGATTGCCCAGCATTCACTACCATATAGTCTACTGTCCCTCCTGCCTTCAATCTGTCCTGTGAGTATCAAATTTTCTAAGCCTTCTTTCCTCATTTATGTTTCCTAGGAATTTCAATTGTCTCTTCCGTATGTTATGTACCATTTTCTTTTTTGTTTCCATTTTCTTTAAAACCACGTCGTTGCTCACGTGTTCACTCCATTCTTTTCTCAGCATCCTTCTGTAGAACCATATTTCTGTTGATCCAAATCTTTTGGGAGATTTTCCAGTATTTACTGCCATATAGGACCGATATTCAGGGCCAGATTGTGACCTTTTAGGATTCTCTAGACGAATGAAATTATGGGGATCCCCTCAGACGGGTCCATTCTCTAGCTCCCCCGGACTCTTCTTGAATACTATTTACTCGATATATATTTTAGCGACATTTACACAATATTTATAAGTCGGGTTTGATTAGGAACACAGTTCCTTAAGGGGCATTTGAACTCATAGAT